CATACATCCATTTGGGTGTTGTTATCTCTAGTATCGTAGCATGACATGCAGCTAGAACAACTTGACGTGAAGACAAATTTTCTTCATGGAGATTAGAAGAAACCATCTATACGGCTCAGCCAGAAGGATTTGCGGAAGAAGGAAAACAAGACTTTGGTGCAGATTGAAGAAGTCTTTGTATGGGCTCAAGCAATCTCCAAGACAATGATACAAACGCTTTGGCTCCTTTATTGATACGAGTCACCGGATGAGCACTCTTGATCGCAGAATTATCAAGAGTGTGTTGTGAAGAAGACAAAAGAAAACACACAAGAATTGAGTTGGTCAAAGGAAAATACCTTCTCTAGATTATGAGAAATAATTAAATTACAAATCTCTCTCTCACAATCTCTCTAGATCAAAGAACAATCTCTTTGATCCCCTTTCTGAATACAACCTGGTTAGAAAACCCTATAAAATTCGTGTTTTAATATGTATCAAACATAAAACCTAAAGCGAACAGGAAACTAAAAGTCTGACCCAGCCCGACTCGCGGTCGACCACAGAGACACATGCGGTCAACCGGACAGAACGACCGAAACTCAGTATTGACTACAGGGTTTGGCGGTCGACCGTAGAACCCATTGTGATCGACCATGGAAAGCAAATGAGACCAAAATCACCTACAGGGTTTTGGCGGTCGATCGTAGAATACGTCACGGTCGACCGCGAAAAATCCAGAGACTTTCCTTGAGCTGTGCACGTTCGCGGTCGATCGCGGCATCACGTGCGGTTGACCACTGGAAGTCCAAAGTGTTTTCCTATAGTTTTCCTATACTCTTCGATGTTGCCGCATTCAACGACTTCGTCCATGTTTCTATTCTCAAGATACTATGAGAATCATCTATCCTCAAACTCTCATGAGGATCTCTAAGCTCCCGAAGCAAGGAAGAAGATACACTCGTATCATGGCTCCCCCCTTTAGGAACTTAAAATCTCGTTCAAGTTAGAACTGAAGCCGAGGGAACTCATGAGCCCTTCCCACTCCGTTGAACTACCTGGCTTTGCTAGGAACCTGACCTTAACGTCCGATCAAAAACGACTCTTTCGTCCCGCATCTCGTCGTAGTCACCTTTCGTTCCAAAATGCAATCTTCTTTGAGCAGTTCTTCTCTATCAAACCACAAATCATCAACATGCGGTAAGATCATCTTGTCATCACCTTCATCATCCAACAATGGAGGCTCAAACAATTAAAAGTACCCTAGAGGGGGTGAATAGGGTTTATGCTAATCTAATCTGATTTATGCCAATTTAAAACTTTACTAACAAATATATCCTAGCTGAATAGGGTTTATGCTAATCTAATCTGATTTATGCCAATTTAAAACTTTACTAACAAATATATCCTAGCACAAGAGATATGAAATTTAAAACTTTACTAACAAATATATCCTAGCACAAGAGATATGAACAATATATGTGCAAGGATAATAAATTAAGCGCAATATGAACACAAACAAGATAGTGGGAATATAAACAATAAGCAATAGACAAATGCGATATAAGATATGAATACAAAAATAAGTGCGCCAATGTAATCACAAATAAATGATATGATCACGGAGTTTGGTTCTCACGACCTATGTCTCTGCTCCTCACCTCGAGAAGATCTCCACTATCACAATCGGGTTTTCTACGCTTACCCGAAAAACATTTACACCTCACAATATTGGTTTTCAACACTCACCGATCAACATTCACAATCACTCATAATGTAACTACACTAACTACCACCTCAAGTGTTGGTCTCTAGCCCGTGTCTCTCTCAAGTGTTAGGAATTATAACATCTCTCTAGGCATTATCACTTACCCCACTTCTCTTGGGACGACCCCGCCTCTCACCAGATACTCCTCTTGGTGTACTAGTGTATTACAAAGCGAACCTCATAATTATAGCTCACAACAAATGATTGTTCTCTAAACAATAGGAGAACTTAATTAAGCACAACTCAAGGTTACAATCTCTCATACCCCAAATTATACTATGTATGAAAATACTAAAAGCTCAAGTGGGTGTGTATAACAATGAAATTTGATAAAACAAAATCCTAAACTCAATTTAAATCTAGCTTATGGAAATTATGAACAAAACAATAAATAGCTAGAAATAGAGTTTAGGAAAACTTCTCTATGATAACAAGAGAGAGGGAGAAGAGTTGAACGCTCAAATACCAATGGATGATCTCCTCAAGCTCTTGTGAAAGTTTCTTCACAAACCAAACTTTTAAACACACTTAAACAAAAACTTAAACCCTTAAACAAACTTATAAAACTCTTTTAAAACTTTTCTCTTCTCTTATTTTGAACTGAGGATATGTGGGGATATTTATAGGAAGCCCCAAAGGCAAGATAAAACAAAAAAACCCAGTAAAAAGACAAAAATAGAAAAGCTAGAAAAAACTAGCCGTTAGGCCGTCAGTCGACTGATACTGTTCATCAATCGACTGATGAGATGACCGTTACAGGCCAGCAACACATCATCAGTCGACTGATGAACTCGTCAGTCGACCAATGACCTCATTAGTCGACTGATCACTCGACTGAAACAAAACAAAAATTTTTAACATTCCAGGTGATTTCTTCAGTCGACACATCAGTCAACCGATGTCATCAGTCGACTTACCAATCGACTGATAACAAGTTATTAGCCTGTTTTGAAACAGAAATCTGATTTTTAAATTATCTTTAAAAATAACAAATAAAATCAGAAAAATATAAAACTTTAGAAAATGATTGTAGACATGATAATATACATGCTATAAAAACTGGTTTTCAAAAAACACCTCCCAAAAGAGAAATCTCTTCATTTTACAACATAGTCCAAAACATGTAAATGAAAAACACTTGTTTTTAACATTGGACATAAACCATGTTTTGAAACTCTATAAACTGATTTCATAGACTAAATAAAAGATGTATGTTATGATTGTTAAGTCTATAAACTAATAAAATAATGTTTTCACAAAAACACCTGTAAAACCAAAATGTGTATATATATATATCTATATATATGTATAAAAACCAAAACGTATATGTGTGTGTATGATTTAAGCTTAAAGTACTTAACACACATAATATAAAACCTAAACTAAATATACCCAAGCTTGTGATCTTCAATGAAGCTCTATCTTGGTAAACGTGCGGATGAAGCTTGAACTTGGATCTTTAACTTGAATTGCATAGCTTCACTCCACTATTCCGCCAACCTCCATTGGATATGACCATGAATGCTCGATTCCATCCATCCTCTAGATTATTGTTTGCCTAGAATAGATACAAAATACAAGAACTAGACAAGCTATATTAGAAGTAAATTATTTGTAAATCATCATCAAAACAAAAGGACCCAATAACAACTTCAAATACTCGGCATTGATCACTGAATACATCCCTATATAAGGTGGAAAATCCAGCTTGAAGGCGTTGTCACCAATTTGATCAAGAATCCGAAACGGACCACATCGTATTGGCTTTAACTTCTTCCCTTCTCCCTTTAGCCGCTCCTTACTCAACTTCAGCCATACCATATTACCTTTACCAAAATTACAAGGAACTCGATATTGATAATGTTTCGCCTTGTACTTAGTCTGTGATTTCTTCAACTGTGCTTCTACCATGGCATGAATATGTGAAATCTTCTCCAGAAATCACTGAGCTTGTTGTCTTTCATTCCCTTCCTTATCGTTGGTCGTAGCTTCACTAGAAAATACGAGATCAAATAGACTCGGAGGTAAAAACTCATAACAAGTCTCAAACGCTGACTTCCTCAAAGACCCATGAATAGCCTTATTAAATGCAAACTGAAGATATGGTAAGCTCTCATCCCAAGTCTTGGGATGCCTGGAATTGTATCCTCTCAACATGTGTACCATAGTCCGATTAACTATCTTTGTTTGTCCGTCTGTTTGTGGATGAAAGACCGTGCTCTTCTTCAGTCTAGTGTCCATCAAGGTCCACAAAGAATCCCAAAAATGCCCGAGAAACTGACTATCTTGATCCTAAATAATCAAATTTGGCAATCTAAAGTGCTTCCACACATGCTCAAAGAACAATTGTGCCGCACCCGCTCCCGTCATGGTCTTCTTACAAGGAATCAAGATCATCATCTTGCTGAACTGGAACAATAAATAAATAATCATGCCCATGTTTAGTCGTCGACAATCCTCCTAAGAAATCTATAGAAATACTCTCCCACGGTCTCGAAGGTACCGGCAATATTAGATACAATCCCTGTTTCCTATTAGAAGGCTTCGATATGCAACATAACTTACACCCTCTAACATACTTAGTAACATCCTCCAACATTTTTGGCCAAAAGACATGGCGTCGTAGATTGAGAAACGTCTTCTGAATCCCAAAATGACCTTGCACACATGATGTATATGCTTCTCGAATCCACTGCAATCGGTTGCCATCCTCTGAAATGCAAAGCAATGTCCCTCGATATAACAAACCATCTTCACCAATCTCATACTCCTCTTGTCGACTAGCCTTCACTTGCTCAAACACACTACTGAATTCTCTACTAAATGTGTATATATGTACATACTCCAAAGGAACCAAGGGCTAAATGTGCATCACCACCAAGCGAGCCCTCACGGGTGGACGAGATAACATATCGGCTAACTTGTTCGTCGCCCCCTTCTTGTACCTAATGATGATGTTGAACACCATCAAATAGGACATCCACTTCATATGACGTGCCTGCTGCAGCTTTGTCTGGGCATGTAAAAACTCTAATGGCTTGTGGTCTGAGTGCACAACCACCTCCTTTCCTAACAAATACACCCGCCAATGCTTGATTGCCTGATAAAGTGCATAAAACTCCTTGTCATAGGTGGGGTAGTTCTGAATAGCACCCGTAAACATCTATGAATGGTACTCTATCGGCTTCTCATCCTGTATCAACACAACGCCCATAGCATAACTAGAAGCGTCGGTCTCTACCTCAAAGGTCCTCTACAAATTCGTTAATGCCAACACCGGTGCCTCCGAGATCTTCTTCTTTAGTAACCGAAAAGCTTCCTCATGTGTCCTCCCCCACTCAAACTGAACCTTCACCTTCATAAGGCCATGTAAAGGTGCCGCATAAGTCAAAAAATGCCGAATGAACTTGTGTAAATACTGACAAGCTTCCATGAAGCTTCTCACCTCCGTCACTGTCCTAGGTGTCGACCACTTTGTGACCACCACCACCTTACTTGGATCTATCCTCCGCTGGCCCTTCCTCACGATGAAGCCAAGATACACCAACTCATCCTTCCCAAATTTACACTTCTTCCCATTAAGCTTAAGCTGTCCATTCTGTAGCACTTCAAACACCTTCTCGACATGAACAATATTCTCCTCCCAGGTCCTGCTGGACACAAAGATATTATCGAGATAAACTATCACAAAATACTCTATAAAGGGTCACAACAAATCATTCATGAGTCTCATAAAGGTAGCCGAATTATTGCACAATCCAAACGACATCACCAACCACTCAAACATGCCATGTTTAGTCTTGAACGCAGTCTTCCAAGTGTCATCCTCCCGAATCCTCACCTGATGGTAACTAGACTTTAAATCCAACTTCGTTAAGAACCTCGCTCCCTCTAACTGGTCCATAAGATCATCAATCCTAGGTAATGGGTAGCGATTCTTGCTGGTTATCTTGTTGAGCGCCCGGTAATCCACGCAAATATGCTAGCCTCCATCCTTTTTGGGTACCAATAATACCGGTGACCCGCAAGGTGAACAACTCGGCATAATTACTCCTGTTTCCAAAAACTCCTGAACCTGCCTCTTGATCTCCTCAGACTCCTCTACAGATGTGAGGTATAGATCTATATTTGGCAAGGAACTCTCGTCGGTCAACATAATATCATGCACCACACCTCGTCACGGTGGTAGTCCCGTGATCTCCTGAAACAAGTCCGCGTACTTGGTCTTCAACCTGTCAAGATCTCCCTCCTGAAGCTTGCTCAAGGTAGTCATGCACACCCTACTCAGCTGCTCCTCATAAGGCCTGGTGAATAACAATACAAACTTTTTGCTCGCATTCACTAGCTTCTTTGCTTGAGTCACCATCACTAAACTCGTCTCCTGTGGAAGAGATGCCGAATGAAATATGAATTGCTCGCCATCCTTGGTGACCGTATACTTCTGGGTCTGCCTATCGTAGACCGCATACCTAGGGGTGTGCAACAGTCGGTTCGGTTCGGTTTTTACCAAAATTTGAACAACCGAACCGAACCGTCTATAATTCAAAACCAAACCGAACTGTTACAAGTCGGTTTGGTGCGGTTCGGTTCAGTTTGTTCTGTTCTAACTTCATCAAATTTCTTATCAAATAACAAACTGTGCTAAAGAAAAAAAGATATCAACAAAGTAGGAGATCATGAAGCATTAAACACTGATATAATGATATTGTTTTCAACCCATAATGATTCAGAAAATGACTTTAGGGTTTGAGTCTTTGACTCTTTGGGGACGGGTCGGGTAGGGTTTATGATCAGAATGAGTAGTATTGCACTATATTCGGTCGGTTCGGGTCGGTTTGGGTTAAAAAGTTTTCAAACCGACTCGAACCACCCTACTCATAAAATCGATTTTTTTGGGGCGGTTCAGATCGGTTCGGTCGATTTTTTTGGTTTGGACCAAACCATGCTCAACCCTACGCATACTTATCCTATAAATAAGAATTGCCCAGTATCACTTGGCAAACATCCAACGGAACGACGTCACTTGTGACCTCATCAATATACAACTCGTGGAGTGCAAATCTAAAAGTACACTGGTTGACCACACTCAATCCCACCTCTTTCTGAATCCACCCTAAAGGATAAGGTTTCAGATGTTTGACCGTCTTCAATCCTAACTTTTGAACCAAGGCTTCGAATATCAAATTCTTCTGACTCCCTGGATCCACTATGGCATCAACCAAGCTGGTCTTGACCTGCACCTTCAAAACAAAGAGTTGCTCACTCGGGTCTTCGTCCTTGACTGTGGCCTGCTTCCCCGCCATAAGGTTGAGACTACTATTGGGTTTTGTCATCCCGGGAACTTCCTTCGGACCTAGTGCTACTACGTATGCCTTCTTCTCCTTCTTTTCTTCAACCCCTTCGGCTTCAGATGAGGGTACTTCTCCCAGCAATGATCAGCTACGTGTCATGTCTATTTACAGTGATTGCATGTCAATCCTACATTCCTTGTATCACCTTTCTTCTTCTCTTCCTTCGGTTGAGAGCCACTAGACTTGCCTCCCATTTGTTTGGAGTCTCCTTCGTCTTGTTGCCCTTCTTTTGCGTACCCTCAATGGCAATGACCTTCACACTTGCTTCTGTAATAGACTCGACCATGAACAACTTCATCTCCTTTCGGATATATTCATTCAGACCCACCATATACTTCATAAAAAGGGAATATTCCTATGTCGTGATGTAGAGGACCATCGTTTGCTGCTGTAATTCCATCGTATACTCTTGAACGGTCTGGTTGAATTTTGGCGCAATCCGTACCACTTATACTAACGCTTCTTAGGGAACCCTACCGGGTAGAACTGCTTCCTGAATAGTTCCTTGAATTTGTTCCATGACACCTCCTTCTTTTCCTGCTTGCAATAGGATTTCCATCATGCCAATACATGCCCCGAAAGCTTCAAAGTCGCGAACATGAGTTTCTCCTTGGATGAATATCCGTAGAGGATAAAATATGTCTCCATTCGCTCGATCTAATCATCGAGCCTCTCGACGTTGACACTCCCATCATAAACAGGAATATCCACCTTGAAGTCTATTTTCAAATTTTGGTAAGAACGCTTACCCCCTTGATGTGGAACAGTCTTGACAACTTTGGTCTCCTCTTCAGAATCAGATTCCTCGCGTTCTCCATCGGACTCTACAAGTCTCTTCTTACCTTTCGAAGAAGATTCCTACTTTTGTCCTTTCCTTAGAAAAGATTGACGAGCTGTGTGAGAGTCAAACCCATTGCCTCCATCTGTTTCTCTAATGCATCTAGTCTTGCTGAACTATGCCCTTCGGTCATATTCTTCTTTCTTAATCTCTGAACTCCTTCCAAAGAAATAAGGATCTCGCCTAGCTTCTTGTATTACGATCGAGTAAGGACCATACACAGGACCCCCTTTCACAGGATCTAATCACTTTGATACCAACTTGATACGAGTCTCTGGACGGGCACTCTTGATCGCGGAATTATCAAGAGTGGGTTGTGAAGAAGACAAAAGAAAACACACAAGAATTAAGTAGATTACAAATCTCTCTCTCATAATCTCTCTAGATCAAAGAACAATCTCTTTGATGCCCTTTCTGAATACAACCTGGTTAGAAAACCCTAGAAAATTCGTGTTTTAATATGTATCAAACATAAAACCTAAAGCGAATAGGAAACTAAAAATCTGGCCCAGCCCGACTCGCGGTCGACCATAGAGACACATGCAGTCAACCGGACAGAACGACCGAAACTCAGTATTGACTACAGGGTTTGGAGGTCGACCGCAGAACCCATCGTGATCGACCATGGTAAGCAACTGAGACCAAAATCACCTACAGGGTTTTGGCGGTTGACCGCAGAGTATGACGCGGTCGACCGCGAAAAGTCCAGAGACTTTCCTTAAGCTGTGTACATTCGCGGTCGACCGTGACGTCATGTGCGGTCGACCACAGGAAGTCCAAAGTGTTTTCCTATAGTTTTCCTGTACTCTTCGACGTTGCCGCCTTCAACGACTTCGTCTACGTCTTCATTCTCAAGATACCATGAGAATCATCCATCCTTAAGCTCCCATGAGGATTGCTAAGCTCCTGAAGCAAGGAAGAAGATACACCCATATTATTCATGCTCCGAATTGGCTACAAAAGAGGTGAGTATGATTGTTGTGTTTACTCACACACATTTGATGATGGAAACATAATTATTTAGATGTTGTATGTGGATGACATGTTGATTGCATGCCGAGATATATCAAAAATAAATAAAATCAAAGGAATGTTGAGTTTGGAATTTGACATGAAAGATCTTAGTGCTGCCAAGAAGATTCTCGGAGTGGAGATTAAAAGAGACCGAGATAATGGTAGATTGTATTTATCTCAAAGCAAGTACATTAAAAATGTCCTTGAAAGATTCAACATGGTCAATTCCAAGCCCGTCTCTACTCCATTGGCTAGTCACTTCAACTTAAGTACAAAGCAGATGCCATCTACAAAAGTTGAAGTTGAAGAAAAGAAGATTCCGTATGCAAACATAGTCGGGTATTTAATGTACGCAATGGTATGCACAAGACCAGATCTTGCTCAAGCTTTGAGCGTGGTGTCAAAGTACATGTCAAATCCAGTTAAAGATCAATGGCAAACTGTCAAATAGATTCTCAGATACCTGAAGGGTACCAGAAACAAGGGGATTATATTTGAAAGACAACATGAAGAGGCGTGCATCACTGGTTTCGTCGATCCTGATTACGCAGGAGATTTAGACAAGAGAAGATCCACAACAGGGTAAGTTTTCACTTGCGGTGGAGGACCCATATCTTGGAGACCCATGCTACAATCCATCAGTGCCTTGTCTACCACAGAAGCCGAGTACATGGCATTAACGAAAGCTACGAAGGAAGCTATATGGCTTAAAGGCTTAGCAAGTGATTTGGGTCTAAATAAAAACTCTGTAAAAATTCAACGTGACAGCCAGAGTGCTATTTGTCTTGTAAAGAATCAGATATTTCATGCAAGGACAAAACATATTGAAGTACGCTATCATCTTATTCATGATTGGCTCATGACAGGAGAGGTCGATGTGAAGAAAGTTCATACAAACGAGAATACAACAGAGTTTCTCACTAAACTAGTTATGACGGAGAAGTTCAAGCATTGCTTGAGTCTGCTAAATCTGACGACATGTTAGATCATGAGTGCACCTAGTCACCAGAGGTGCAGGGAGATGAGTTGATGCTCACTAAGGTGAAGCAGCTGAAACCAGAGCAGGACTTGCTCTGAAGTTCTGGAGTCTAACTTCTTAGATTCCGAAGATCCATGTTCCGAAGACAAGTGTTCGTGATTTAGATGAAGATTGATATTTTGGAAACTCGTATTCCGAAGACTAATGCTCCGAAAACGAAGCTTATAATTTCGAGTGGCATCGGATATCTCGCCAAGGTGGAGATTGTTAGAGTTGGCTTAATTTTCAACTAAATTTATTGCTGCAATTTTTAGCATGAAGATATAATTTTATATGGTCTTTTCGGGTATGGTTCAGTCATTATTTGGCTCAGAACTCTACATGAAAGCTGTAGATGTACATGCATAGTTTACTCCAACCTTTGAATCACAGGAATCGGAGTAGTATGGATGGAGTTATGGTTAGTTAAAGTACCCTACCCGAATCTGAACATATTTGTGTATTCCCAAACATTTTGGAAGATGAAAATGTTAATCAAGGCCTATAAAAAGGCATGCTCTCATTTTGGAAAGGAAATAAAAGGTAATCTAAGGGTAATCTAAGTTTTCCACTTGTTCTCTTGAAAGTATAGAGAGTTGGAGTGAAGGAGAGTCTCTTGTGTTGTAAAGAGTTCGAGTGTTGAGTTAATAGAGAAAGAGCGTGAGTGAGGGTTGTGTGGAAGTCAACATTGTCAGGTGTTCTATGTGTGCCTTGTACCCATTTGTTAATTCCATATAGTGAAGTATCCTTCGAGCTCTGAGCTTAACCCGTGGTTTTTCCCGTTTGGTTTTCCACATAAATCATTGTGTCCATTCTTTATGTGATTATCTTTTATTTTTTTGTCATTAAGAACAAGAACCTGAAGTGGTGTTGAAAATTTTTATGGTTCGTCAACACCAACAGTTGCAAATGAAATTCCAGTCTCTGTTGAAGTTGTTGATGCTGATAAAAGAGCTGATGAAGTTCTTGCCTCTGCTAGTGGTGCTACCATCTCTAACATGATAGTTACCTCTCTTGAAGTTGAAAGTTCTTATAATGCTACTTCTGCTATTGCTACTGACAATAAAAGATAAAGTCCTCAAGCTCCTGCTGTGCAAATACCTAGACTTGTACATACTACATCTTCTTTAGTTTGGAGTACTGTT